AGAGTCGCCAAGCTGTCGTAACCGTCTTTCGGTTGGACCCGGAATTGGGCTTCGACTTAAAAAATGTGGATTGGAGTCGCCACCGATCATTTATTTAAAAAATAAATGGGTTGATCGGATACCCTATTTCTTACCTGATCTACGTCTTTCCAAAGATGTGTCGGGTTCGGGAGTCGGTTACGGTTAAGGAAGGATTAACACCCTTGAACCGTCCTTTCGGTACTACGTACTTTCCAGTTGTCTTTGATTAAGAAAATTGCATTTTAAATTAAAAGGTAAAATAGCGATCCAAAACTTACCTTTTGACAGATTTAAATCATGCCTTTTAAAGAAAATCAGAAAATGTTAGATGAAAAGTAAGGAATAAATGAATAAAATAAATAAACCCAAGCAAGAAGGAAGATAGAATTAGTAAAAAAAAAAAGCTAAGATAAATAAATAAATAAGATAATAAATAAAATAAAAGCAAACACATAATCAATAAATTAATAAAACAAGTTAGAAAAACTAAGCGAAAGTAAAAAATACGAATACAAATACAGAAAAAGAAAAAAATGGATAGAATAAAAAAATAGTAATAAAATATGAGAAACTAAAAATGATAATATATATAACTATTAAGTAATAATAATAATAAATAGGAAAAAAACGCAACTCCACCGAAAATAGAAAAAGGGATACGAACTTAAAAAAAAGGATACATATTAAAAAAGGATAAAGGTTTGGTCATCTAAAAGAGGGGGTAGGGCCTAAAGGAGTGATAATTCAAAATGTTAGGTTATATATATAATATAATATGTACATAATAATAATAAGATATGGTTTTTTAATACAAAGCAAATGAGAATGATGAAACGTGTATACATATAATACTAGAGAAACAATAAAAACATATATATATATATATATAGTTAAAATAAAATAAAACTAGAAAAGCTAATGATTTAAAAAGTTTATATATATATATTAATGTATATAAAAAGAATAGAAATAAAATATAAATAAAAGAAAATAATAGTAATATAAATAAATAAAATATAAAAAAAATATACATATAAATAAAATAAAACAAATAGATGAAACAATAACAATTAAAACTTAAATACATGGGACCGAATTGAATGAAAAACAGAAGTGTGTATCGATTTTAGGAGAAAATGGGGGCGACAATAGAAGAACTAAAGAACGGAGGACCAAAACTGTGGTTTACCCTATTTAAACGAAAACACGTGGGTCGTATGGCGCTGGGTCGGTTCAGTTGGCTCCACGGTTTGGTTAAATGGGAATTATAAAAGTTAATTAAAAATTTTTTAATTTTAGAAGGCTTCATTTCTTCTTCTCTCTCGCAAAGAGCTTCCCCGTCCCTTTGAAAACACTCTCAAGTGTTCATCAACCAGATGAACAACGGCCGTGGATCCCAGAGTTCGGCCGCCTTGTCTTGTCGACGCTGCCGTCCACTGGAAGTGGAAAAAAAAAAGTTTCCATTTTTCTAAAAGATCTCCCCCCATGTTCTGAAAATCCAAGTTGGTTCCTTTTTTTTTTTAAATCGCCTCGGGGAGCCGTGGATCTAAAGGAGAAGATCTTGGCTTACCCCCTATTTTCATCGGCCAGGAACCCTTTTCTGGGTTTTATTCGAATCAAAATCAGTGGAATAACTATGCATGCAAGACGAAAAAAGAAAGGTATGATTTTTGTACCCTTTTATTTCTTCACAAAATGATTACAAAATGCTTGTGTTTACCCCGAATGGCTTCTGATCTCTCTCGATGTTCCCGTGTGAAAGCTGTGTAATTGTCTATCTGTCTCTCGTATGATTTTGTGGGTAATCTCCCTCTGTAAAATCCTCCCCCTTATCGTGAGAATTACATGTTTATTTATAATCAAAAACTACACTTAGAATCCTATTTTAACTAGAATCATAATCCTTGTTGTCTTCTCTTGTGATTTGTTATTGCTTTCTGCGTGACGTTGGTGAGGTTGAGGAATTCACGGCGCTGAGAAAACCGGATGAGGGAAACGTGGGTGGCGAGGACTCGTGAGGCAAGGATTGCGCCGCTAAAGAGGGAAGCTGCTAGGGTTTCTGGAAACCCTAGCTCCAGCTGGGTTGCGTGCGTGGGCTTGCTATTGTATTTGGGCACCAATTGGGCCTGAAAAATGTAAATAAATGTATTAGATATAAATGGATATATAATATAATTTATAATATAAATCTATATTATATAATATAATGAATGATGAAATTTAGTGTCTTCAGGCAGTCCAGTGAGCAAAGGGAGTGTTTTTATGTAGTTGGTAAATACATCGGATCAGTACAGAATGGAGTGCTGAAATTATGACTTTTTTGAGCTAATACAAAGATCACGTTGTCAGTAATTGCATTTTGATTTTACTTGATGGGATATTGGATTTCTTAGGAACATAGATTATAGGGTATTCTTCCAAAACAGTTTGTCTGATGCTAATCTTAATTAAGTTGTTCACAATTAGTTTAAGCCACAAAGATACAGGGAATAGCTTAATTATATCTGATGGGTTCAAATAGTATAACTTACAAACAAAAGCTCCTAAATAAGTTGAATTGCTTGGACATTCCAAGTTGAAGACCATTTAGATGCACTTTAATTCCAATTCATACTTTGTACTTGTAATGTTAATATGGATTTCTATTCCCTGTAAAAGTGGATTATCTTTTACAAGTTACATTAGGTTTAATTTCTTTAGTTAATTTAGTGGATGCTATACTGACTTTGTCCCCAAATTAGACTCATGCTTTAACGAATGTATACCTTTCCTGTGATTGTGAAGTGCATCTTAACATGCCTTTCATTATGTGATGACAAAGTCGTATCCTTCAGTATTGTCTCGATTCTAGTGTGTTAGCTTTGACTATAATATATGGTTTAATCTTATAGTCGATAAAAATAATGGAGGAAAATTGTTTTTCTTAGGCAATAATGGTTTGGAACTTTGGAGTTAGAATGTGTCTCATTCATAACTTTCTTGATACATTTTATGGGAAGTAAAAAGTGTGAAATGATGGAGCATAATCATATACTTTGGTTCCAGAAAGCTTTGTTTACAATAATGAAATTGTTGAAATCCACTCATAGTAGTATAGTACACAAGAATCTCATGTTATTATCTCCTATATTCAGTAATTATATTAGTCATTTACATTGTTGGCTGAGTGATGCCTGCACCACAGGAGTTCCACATTTGCTGATTTCTGATGTTCTAATGGTATATAAATTTTGCATAAATCTTGAATATCATTAACCATTCAATTTGTGGAGGAGCTTTAGTACAAAGTTAGAGAAGTTGGAGCATGGACTGAATGCCCTCCCATATTATTATCATGATTATATTTCAGATGGGAAATCAATTAATTTTCCCCTTGTTAGAAAAACACAGTGGTTTTACTAGTGTCATTTTTATTGTACCTTAGTGGAGCATTTCAATTCAACCTGTATTCCTTGACCTTGTGTTCACTCTACTACCATACTGTAGTTGGCCGAGCCTAAGCTATAAGAAATTCGATCCACCCACGTTTTTAATGCTCAGTTTGAGATAAAATCTGACCATCTTATTCTATTCTTACACATTCATTGATAACCAAGTATATTATTAAATATATTAGTAACAGCATACCCAGATTAAATGTGCTACTACCGAATCAATGTTCAACTTCCCTTAACCTCCTTAATTGGTGAATCAAATATATTTCTCTTTGCATAAACTATAATATGAACAAATATTATCTTATAATCATCTCATATTATCAAAAAAGAAGAAGAGGAAGAAAACTAAAATCATTCGGTATAATATAAGCTATAATATTAATTAATATTACATCATTAATTAATGTTATAATTATTATATTTTCATAAAATAAATGTAACTAAATATTAATGTCAATTTAACCTTAAAATTATTTATTCTCAATTATGTAACAAACACCTAATTGTTGAAAAAATACACATCTAATAAGTATTTACATAAATAACATCCAAAAAAAAGTTTATTTAGGAAAATAGCAACACCCTTTTGATAAATACATATCATGTAGGTTATGTGTTTTTTTTTAAAAAAAAAAAGGGATTTGTAGGACACATCTTTACTAACATGACATGTATTTGCATGAGCACGAGCCAATCAGACAACAACAACGACGTTAGCATATAGGTCTTGTCTTCAATTACTCATGAGTGTATGTTTAAAAAAACTACATTAAATACTTAAAAAATACATATATAAACAATATGATATTTGTGAATCTCATGACTAAAACTTACTGATTTTGAGTTGTGCATGTCTTGAACTTGATCAAACTTATATCAATACGACAATCAAAGAAAGTTGTTGTCTTCTGAAAATATCCAAAACTATCTTTGGCTATGGTACTGATAGGAGTCTGATCAAGTTCAAGACACGTACTCATTCAGTGATTGAAAACATAGATATAACTTTTGATTATGAGAATTTCATATCTCACATTATTTTAATATAAGTTTGTTTAAGCGTTTAAATATAATCTTTTAAACATGTATTCATTCCGTTATTAAAAGCATATGTCGTTGTTGTATGTCCCATTTGTATTCATGCAAATACATGTCTTCGACACGTACCACTTGTATTTCTTCTTTTTAAACATAATTCACACACACGTTAATTTACCTTTTTGTTTATAAGTTATAATTTAATATATTTTAATTTATAAAAAATAGTTATATATATTAAGTACTATAATATTCTGTTAAATTCTTAGCCGATAAACAACGTACTTACCCCAACAAGACTCTAATTTTAGATCTAAACTAATAACCATTAATTATTATTCAACGTTTTTTTTTTTTACTTTTTCTAGTGTGGAATTTGAATGCTTAAAATCCCATTTCTTTTACCTCCACCGCCAACTTATTCTTGTTTTTGCTCATATCATTATTTTTCAATTTTCTCCTCCTAATTTGCAAACTTTTTTTATAATCAAAATTAATTCTTCCATGGAAGGACCAGAACCAACTGAAATTGTTCGTATGTTTCAAATGTTTGATAAGAATGGAGACGGAAAGATCACAAAAAAGGAGCTTAGCGATTCATTATCAACTCTGGGTATTTTTATCGACGATAAAGAATTAAATCAAATGGTTGATAAAATCGATGTGAACGGAGATGGTTTTGTAGATATCGAAGAATTCGGGGCGTTGTATCAAACAATAATGAACGAGAGGGACGAGGAAGAGGACATGAAAGAGGCATTTAACGTGTTCGATCAAAACATAGACGGGTTCATAACGGAAGAGGAGTTGAGATCAGTGCTGGCATCGTTGGGGCTAAAGCAAGGAAGAACAATCGAAGATTGCAAGCAGATGATAAAGAAAGTGGATGTGGATGGAGATGGAATGGTTAATTTCAAGGAATTTAAGCAGATGATGAAAGGTGGTGGATTTGCCGCTTTGAGTTAAGTTGATAGATGATGGAAAACAAAATTTTTAAGGGGAAAAACAAAAGAAGATGATGGAAAATTGCAATGTTTTCTCTCTATATTATTATTGGTTTTATTTTGTAATTTGATCACAATTTTTTATTCCATTTGTTTGATTAAATGCTCATGTAAATATTTGTAGCACTTTTCATTGGATGTCTGTGAAGATAACGTGTCTCGTTAAAATCTTACTAAGATAAAAATCTTATGGAGAAAAAAATCTTAATTGATGAAAAATAGTACGCATATCTCTAATACGCATAACATGTTGTCTCATTAACAATCTTACTAGAAAATCTAGTGGGACAAAACTTTGGTTAAGGAGAAAAAAATACATTTACTCCTTCATAATAATATCACATAAGGCCCTTGAGTCTTTACAATCCAACCCTGAATATAATCTTCAAATTTTGAAATAGATTATGCACTGGAGAAACTTTAGGGAAATATGTTTCCTTTGATTTATATTATTTATTGAGTTATATATTCTGCATTATCTTTGTACAAGATAATTGACATCTTATCACCTGGAAGCGAATCACATATCTTCTGAATATTTATCTTAAGAGCATTCTCGATTTACCTCAAGCATAGTAATAATTTCTACATGATTTGTATAGACATCAAATAATGTTTGAAGATATAAAGATAATAATCTTGTAGCACTTAGATAGTACCTTCTGGACCAACTAAGATGTGGTGCTTTTGAACCAACTAAGATACAATGGTTATGGACTAACAAATATATGGTGCTTCCAGAACAAGAATTTCTTTTCTTTCTTTAAAGATAAAAATTATCTTTATCACATTTTTGCAATCTTACATTTTTCTTATATTAATTATGCCATGAGATATATAAAATATATTGAAATCAATCTAACAGATTTTTTTTTGAAACTAATGGGCCTCATTAAAACCCCTTCTAAACTTAGTAAGGGGAAAAGAGTGCCCAAATTATATTAATCAAAGATCAATGACATCTTTTTTAACATTCTGAACAATGATGTTGGGAAAACCGACTCAAAAACAAAGAATCACCTGAATTTAAAGCCCAGTTGGCTTATGCATGAGCAGTCTGATTACACTCTCTAGGAGTATACAAAATACAAAAACGAGGATGATCCTGAAAAATAGTACGAGCCTCTTGAACATACACCATGAGGGTGGAAATATCTGTAGAAGTTCGTGTAATCTTATGGACAAGCATCAAGGAATCAATTTCAAACTGAACATCAGATCATCTCATATCACAAGCCATTCTAAGACCAACGAGTAAAGCAGATAGTTCCACAAAACCCGCCTCAAAACATCCAACAGAAGACTGGGCCAAACCACCACAAACCTGTCCACACTTATCACCGGCAACAACTCTAATTACAGACAGTCGACACTTCGCAACAAAGGCACCATCAACATTCACTTTGATAACTCACTCCAAAGGTGGAGTCCATCGTATAGTTGTATTTGTAGACCGTTGTTTATTCATCCCCACAATAATATCCCTTAAATAGTCCTGATGTAGTATCTTTGCATTAGTCACCAAGAGCCACGTCAGTTGCAACCTGTCAGAATGAACAAAGGAGTTTCGATTATTCTAGACATTCCACAGAATTATAAAAAAAACAACAAAAACATCAATTCCTAGAATATAGAATACTTCCTCCATCCATAATAAAGGACTATCCATAGTACTTAAAAATATAGAAGGAGGCAGATATGCTAGACGTAAAGTCTCCAAAGTTACATGACAATCCCTCATGGCATGTATAATCGTCTCCTCCCCATTAGAACACATAGGACAAATTCCATCACCAAAACCAGTACTTTTAAGCTGACTACCCACAAGTAATGCATTCCGGGCAACCCGTCAAGCAAACACACGTATCTTAGGAAGAATTTTCAATTTAACCATAACTGACCACAATTTAGACTTTCTCTTATCATCATGATGCCGTTTCTGTAACCACAAATAACTAGATCTAACTGAGTAGATACCTGAATCATGGTTAGCCCAAACAATAACATCTTCAGCACAAGGTATAATAGGATCCGAAAGAATCTGCATAGTATCTTCCTTAGAAAACAACCTATAAATCAAAGATTCATTCCAAACATTAAAACCATCAATCATAAGATCAGAATAATAAAGAGTATTAAGATCAGAGTTAGAATAACTCCCTATGAGAGAAACAACATTTGAACCACCCCAGATATCATGGTGAACCCGTTTATTACTTCGTATACCAATACGCCAAAAAAGACCCCCACACATCTCTTGCAATGTATGGTATAAACCTTTCCAAACAAAAGAACTTCTATCATTTAGAGTAGCATGCAACAGATCACCATGGGGAAAATATTTAGCACGAAATACTCGAGCTACCAAACTCTCTGGATCCTTAATAAAGCACCATAATTGTTTGCCTAATAAAGCCAAATTGAAACTATACAAATCCCAAAATCCCATCCCATCTTCTCTTTTGGGTTTGCACATTGTTTTCCAAGCAACCATTGGCCAACCACGCCTATTAGCATCACCTGACCACCAGAAAATGACTCATATTACTCACTAAATCCTGAACTAAACAATCAGGAATCCGATAGCAAGACATAATATATTGTGGAAGAGCTTGGGCTACAGCTTTAAGAAATACCTCACGACCTCCAAATGAAAAAAGATGTTTCATCCACCCGTCAATTCTATTAGAAACCTTCTCTTTCAAATAACCAAATGTATTTGTCTTATTCTTTCCAATGTGAAGAGGCATACCAAGGTAGTGTCCCAAATCAGACACTTCACTAATACCCAAGATACTCGAAATCTGATCACGACATTCTTGTCTCGTAATTGGACTAAAATATAATGTTGATTTCTCAAGATTCACCTTTTAACCAGAAGCGGCTTCATAAGCACCAAGAGCATCGTGAATAATAGAAGCCTCCTGTAAAGAGTTCTTAATGAAGATAAGGCTATCATCAACAAAAAATAAATGAGTTACCTTAGGCCCATTCTGACTTGCCTCTATTCCACGAATCTTTCTTTGAGCCTATAAACGGTTAAAATAGAGCGGATAACCCCTGAGTGCAGAAAAAAATAAAAATAGAGATAAAGGATTGCCTTGTCGTAACCATCGATTTGACCTAAACTCCTTAGTGAGACTACCATTGATACGAACAGAGAAAGAGACGGTTTCCACACATCTCATAATAAGATTAACCCAATCAGTACAAAAACCTAGCTTTAACATAACCTTTCTCAGAAAAGACCATTCTACTCTATCTTACGCTTTCTCCATATCCAATTTAATAGCAGCACCCTTATTCGGACCATTTTTTGAAGAGTTAATATAATGAATAAGCTCATGTGCTACCAATATGTTATCCGAGATTTGGCGTCCAAGAAGAAAGGCAGCTTGTGTTTCATGACTGCAACTCGCCATAAGCCCCTTAAGTCGTCGAACCAGAACCTTGGAAACAATTTTATAAATTACAGTACAAAGACTGATTGGGCGAAGATGCTTCATCTGTTGAGGATCAGATATTTTTGGAATAAGAACAATCACTGTCTTATTAACCAAACTCATGTCTAACGTACCTTGTAACAATTGTAAGCACAAATGGACCACATCTGCCCCAACAATATCCCAATGCAATCAATAGAAACTCGCCGGAAGACCATCAATGCTAGGTGCCTTCCGCAGATGAATATCAAGAAAAGCTACAATGATTTCATCAGTAGTAAAATCCGCACAAAGTGCACCATTCATTTCATCAGTAATGACCATATCAATAGCACCAATAATAGAATCATCAAAGACAGTACTCGCAGAAGAAAATAAATCCTTAAAATAGTTAACCGCAATATCCTTAATATCCTGCTTACCTTCCTTACAGATGCCATTTTTATCCAATAAGCCCTGAACATAATTTTTCTTACGACAACGCATGAGCATGAAAATAAGAAGTATTTCTATCTCCATTAGCCAACCATTGAACTCGAGACCTTTGCATCCAATACACCTCCTCCTTATTAAGCAGAAGATGCAATTCCTCTTTATCTCTTTTGAGATTCTGCAATTCTGCCTCCGAAGTATGACGGCTGAAAGAAGAATTAATTTTATTTCGAAGAACTTGAATTCTGCCACGAGAGGTAGCCAAACGAACCTTTTGCCAAGAACTAAGTTTTGACCCAACCTTAGCAATTTTATCCAGAATATCATAATAAGGTAGATCCTAAGCGGCCTTAACTAATATTCTACAAGCTTCCTCAGAAGCCCAACATTGTTCGGAACGAAAATAATCATCACCTCGATCCCTGGATAAAGGTTGAACCCAAGCAGTATCTATTAATAAATAACAATGATCAGAAGTTTCAGCAAACTCAGTAAATACCTTACCATTTGGAAATGCTTGTAGCCAACTTTGGGAAGCAACAAAATGATCAATATGTTCCTTAGTAGCATGATTCGCCCACGTAAACCAACCTCTAGCAGGCTTAACATCAAATAAACCATTATTGGCAAGCACCATACGAAACTCATCAATTTGAACTCTTGATTTCCTTCGCCCACCTTATTTTCAGAATCATGAAGGATTGCATTAAGATCCCCACCCAATAACCATGGAAAATTAGAAGCATTTCGTAAAGAATAAATTGTGGACCAAACCTCAATCTTAAGATTATCATGGTGACTTGCATATAAACCTGAGAAATGAAATTTGCTAATGTCATTATCAATGATAGAATCAATATGAAACCGGGAGTACGATAAAATCGAGGCATTAATATTATTATTCCACAAGAGCATTAGCCCAGTACAATCATTGTTTTTGTCTACAACGAAACAATTATCCATACCAAGCTTGCAACGTATATAGTTACTCTTGTTTAGTCTCGCTTAAGAAAACAACATTTGCACTCTTAAGACCGATATATCGGCCAATCGCACGAACTATCGTAGCGTTGTTTAGACCACGACAGTTCCAACACAAGACAATC